GCTGTTCCAGCAGGCCTGGGACTGATGAGTTCCCAGCCCCACTTGAATTGTTGCGATAATTGTGTAGCTTTTGATCTGTTTTTTGTGTCTTGTTTTTGTCTTGTTCGTTTTTTGTATTTCCCCCTTCCCCACTTGTTTGTTAGCCGCCCTGAGTCCCTCGGGAATAGGGCGGCATACAAGTATAATAAACATAACATAGCATAAGGAAATAATTTTGTTAGAATGCTGGTTATTATATTAAACTGGGCACAATAATAAGGTTGCACAATATTAAGCACACGTGAAGCTGTTCTTTAATTCTTAAAAGGACCCACCAACTCACTTCCCAGTTGTGGCAATACCATTACAGATTGCTCACTTGGAAGCATTTTTCTTCCCATGCTACAAGACCAAAAATAACATTTTTCTTAAGAAAATTTATTATCTTTTCATAATGTTTAGGATTCAAGTGTGGGGGGGGGAGTTTTCTCCCACTCACTATTCCAGTGTTCCTCCATCATAGCAACATGTGTGGAGTTCTACTCTCAGAATTTCCCAGCTAAAGGCTATTATCAATGACGGGTGCACTCTCAGGAAAAAGTTGGACGTTTCTAACCAACAAGCAGAAAATATTCAGATTAAGAAAAACTATGCTTAAGAAGCATTAAACACCCCTGACTCAGTACAGGTCTAAATCAGGTTGTTTTCATAGATTAAGTTTGAAGTAATCAACTCCTATATTATTACTGAGATTACTGAAGTTGGTTCTTATCCATTTACTAACTGAACTGCAGTTCCACTACTCAGCAGGGCAGAATCTTCATGTGACTTGTTATGAGAAAATATTGATAAGCCAATGTGAGACAAACAGGAATGTAATACTTACATTTCTTTAACGTTATATAGACACTGCCTGTGGTCCTGCATTTCTGAAAAAGCCTGGTTAGCTCTGTCAAGAACTGCAAAAACAAACAAAACATCTAATTGTTACAAATTTTGAACGTTTCTTTCTCAAGCTAGTGAACAATTAGTTGCACCCAATATTGAAAACGCTGCCCTTGACCATTAAACCATAGCATTATAATCTGTTAATGGAACTAGATATGCACTGAAACTACACCTTTCATTGTTCTTTACTCCCCCATCAGAGATTCTAACTTACTAGACCTCGTTAATCAGAGCCAATACTATTAAGATGCAATGTAGTGTAAACTACTTCAAATGAGCCATATGTAATCATTAATTTGCCATGGCAAGGAGTATTCAACAAGTACGTTAAAAGTTGCCAAATCAGGTGCCGCCAGAAAACTAAGTGGCACGTAGCAAAGAACTGACGCCATGGATTGGAGCGTCTGGCATTCACTGTGCATTAAGCGGCCCACATGCAAACGAATGCCGGGGTGGGGGGTGTTTAACAACTTTCAAGAGTGACATAATACTATAAGGGGGAAGTGATGGGCACCCCTCCCTGGCTGTCCAATTGCTTTATGCGCTGCTTAGGGTCCGAATACAGATTTTGAGCAGACCCGGTGCAGAAGAGCGATAAGGCCCCTAGAACTGCCACCTTCTTTTTGTTAATCTTCCCCCTCATCCCACCGCCGCCTATTCTGCTCCACAAAGCAAGGAACTGCGGGAGAGCAACCTTCCACTCCCCACCCACCCCTGCAAAGGGGTCAGGTCGGATTTCCGCCCACAGCAACGGGCTTTGCGAACTCAAAGAGCGGCCCCTTCCCTAATAGGCACCCCCGGAGACGGAGCGTTAGGCCACGGTACCTGCTCGCTCTCCAGCAGCACCATCGCCCCGCGCGCTTCTTCCCGGCACCTGACGCAAACGCAGCCCACTCCCAACCGCCGCCGAACGGACGGACACCCGGCCAGGAAGTGGAAGTAGCGAGGATACGAGATGGAAACTCTAGAAAGAACCTCCCTTTCTTTCTCTCTGCTGCCCCCTGCAGGGCTCCAGGCGGAATTGCACTCAGAACTGTTCTCTGAATCGGAGGTTGCTTGCGTGGGTCAGCCGCGAAGACGTCCCTCCATCGGGGTGGTTTTTGAGGGCTTTTCCGCTGCGCACGCATTGGAGGCTGAAGTCTGTCGGGTGGCACTTGCTTAGCAGAGAGAAGTCTGCGCTCCGATCCATTTTAAAAAGGGAAGAATCCTAGTAGAGGTATATAGAAGAGTTTCTGATAGAAAATTCAGCAGTGCTTTGACCCTTCCATCCCTCGATGCTGAAACTGGGCTGCCAAAAAATCTGTAGGGTAGATTATAGTGACAATTTTTCTTCTTCTTTTTAGTATCTCTTTGCTATCAGTTAGATTTTGACAACCCAGATCCAGTAAATTCTTAGTTATGGTGCATAATCGCCACATTTTGACAACTATGGAAAGTTACCATCAACGGGTGGATGGTGAAGAGCGATATTGAAACCTAATAAAAGACTTTGCTATGGTATTGATTTTATTTTAAATATTTTATTTTATTTATTTTGGTTCCTTCCATTCACTGGATTCGTGGCCACTGCTTGGACAAGTCCCAGCACTTTTCTTGGCAAGATTTTCAGAAGTTGATTTGCTACTGCCTTCTTCTTAAGGTTTAGAGAACATGGCTGGCGCAGTAGCCATCCTGCTGGCTTCATGTCAAAGGTGGAGTAGAACTCATGATTTACCAGTTTCTAACCGGATGCTGTAACTGCTACATCAAAGTGACTCTCTTTATTAGGGATTATCTCATAGCCATAGTATATTTTAGCAAAGTGTATTTTTCTATTCTAACAATGTCTGCATCCTGTTATCCATTATCCCTCCTGCATAACAAGAAACCAGTGGATTACCTGCAAGGATGCTATATGTCAGATAACGCCATTCAGATCTAGCCTGAGTTGGGCACTTGTTATGTGGGTTCAGGGAGTTGATTCAGACAAGCTCTAACTTGATTGGGAGGAATTTGAGCCTGTTAGTACTGAGGAACCAAAAAGAGTCCCAGAGTCACCCGTGTTACAGGCCCATGTATCTTCTACTGGGTTAATGTGTCTTGGGAGATGATATGTGGTTGGTTCCACTTGATGGCGAATGCATCTTTGGATGGAGGGATTCCATTATCTTTAATGGAAGATTAAAGCCTACCCATTTCTTGGGAAGCCATTGGTGGATCCACAGAACTGGATGATTTCTGTCCATTCTCCAATCTTACTGTCAGCGTTCCAAATAACATGCAGAATTAAATCAGAGTCCAAGGCAGAGCTATCCTTAA